TATATATATATATATGAGTATTTCTTCGCAACATGAAAATTAAAATTTTTATTCTATTCATTGTTTTTACAAAAATTAAAAGTCAAGCAGTAGACTAACGTTATGACACACTTCCCAGTGGATCACTGAAGTCAAGCAACACTGATTTTAGTCAGTGAGCGGGTGGGTGACCACTTTGATCTGCCTGCTAGGGAGTGGGTCGACGGTCCTCATTAAACTATTCTACCTTAAAGTTCTCGACTTCGTGCTCAGGTCGTAGAGCTACCGAAGCAGGGCTGCCATTCCATCTGAGGAGAATGAAAATTGTGATAGCATGTTTTCGGATCATCCTAATCCCAGACCGTCGACGATGGTCAGCGAGAATGGGGCCGACCCTTTGAACTGTTTGGGTTTGGATGTTTATGTTTGCCTCATAAGTGAGGTGATCTTCGAAGCAAGGAAATAAGTTCTCACTGTTATAGTGCGTGACGAGCTCTGATTTGTGTATGTTTGAGAGAGAGAGAAAACCTCTTCGCAAGCTTCAGAACCAGTTTTTGGCTTTAAAGATAAGACTTCTTTATGTTGTTGTTGTAGTAGGTATGCCCGCCTTTCTATGCCCAATAATTCAATTTCTATCACATCCATACGTCACATCCGTTCATGGGGTGGATCCATTCATTCTTCCAGAGATCGCAATTTTGACCTGAACCAGAGAACGATCAATCGCCAATTCAGTACATCAAGATGCATATTTTGTTATGGAGACTTTGTGACCCGGCAGATTTAACGTGCATCAGTCACCATTTACGACAGGGAGAGTCTTCAGCCGGCTGGATTCGAACTCTCATTCTCACGAACGTGAGTCCAGTTCCCTGCCAACCAGGCTATCCCGGCCTTAAGGCTTTTTTATGAAGAAATTATTTACGTTTTGGGCTTTAAACTCGATTATCGGTTAACAGACAGTTAACAGTTAACTTCGGTCTTGAAATGACTGTTTGACTAGTTATTCATCGCCCATTGCGCAACTCTAGTACGACATAAATAAAGTACTACGAATACACTAGTACTGCAAAGATTTAAAATTTACTTTTTTGGTCTAAAAATTAACTGGAGAATACCTTAATATTTACGTAAATAAGACGTATAGTGCGGCTTTCAGGAGAACTTCTAAAGATATCAGTCTCGCGTCGTGGCGGGTACCATGGTTACGAGGAAAAGTCACTTTGAATTGAGGTGTGGGGGTGAATAGTTTTGTCTTGATTTTTGCAAAGGTCAACGTGAGTGAACCAATCGACTCATTCATTTCTCCCCCATTAGAAATGTGCTCTCGCTTGTTACTATAGCAGCAGACAGCCCCAGACTCTCAGTCTGGAGGAGTTCTCCTCAAAGCCGCACTATACGTATTGCATAATACGTAAATATTTTTCATATTGTCTAAAAAAACATTTTGGTAAATATGTGATATAAATGACAACTTGTTATTGACTTAGCATTTTTAATTTTGGATAAAAAGTTTCCAGTTATACTCCCTACTCTAAGATTAAATAGCAGAGCACAAAAATGCAAATAACAGAACACAAAAATGCACTTACAAGCTGATGCCATTTCGCGAATATCGTCAGCAACACAAGGAGATGGAACGCAAACTCCAATGCGCATGACCATGAAGTGAAAGAGGGCGGAACCATGAGCAAAATCCGACAGAACCTGCAAGAACTTAATATTATTTTCATGAAAAGCTCAAAATAAGAAGAACTTAGTATGTCGCTGACATTTTATTGAATTTTGAAAAATTATCTTAATAAAACAAAAAAGGCAACAATTAGAAACTTGTTTACAAAATGAGTTTTCCTCATTGAAAGCGCACTCATTTAAAAATTATGAACCGATCTTCGATATTTTAAGTGTTCTACCTATATACAACTTAACAGCGGAAATATTTTCAAAATGTTTTTTTTTCTTTCTTCAAATTAAGCTTTATCAGCAATGTTTCATCTTGCGCCTCTCCAAAATGTACAATCTTATCAAATGTACAATATTTTCGATTATGGGACCTTGGGGCAATGTCAGTTTTGGTTTTTCCACTGACAACAGAAAAGCTCCAGTGTGTTGGTACGCAGTGTGTCCCCTGAAGAAGTGCTGTCTTACTAACACACATATCTTTTATTTTATTACTTTTTCCTGCTTTAATTGTTTGTTTGAATATCTAAATTAAATTAAAGCAAATTTGGTTTTAACTGCTTTAAGAGCTTTTCCATTTTGATTTAATATTTTAATTGTTAATTTACTTCCTTGTCTCTTTCTGTTTTTGTAAATTGGATTCATTTTCTGATTAGGCAATCTTATCAAATCTCATATAGACTGATGTCATTTTTTCTCTGCATTCTTGAATTATTGGCATTATATTACTATTCATAACTTCTATTTTACTTCATATTTGTTTGTTTTTTTCTTAAAAATTAGCAAAAATTGTTGTAACTTACTGAATCGATTGGAATGTTTCCAAAATCCAAAACTTTTGTATTTAAAGTAACGCTGTTTTGGAGGGCAGGTAAAGTAGGTTTCAGTTCCAGCGTGCAGTACTTCCCACGAATGTTGACATGCTTGTTCCTTTTGGGTTGCTCTACATCCAAACACTGATCGTATTCCCCTAAATCAGTGAGGGTACCTTCTAAGCTACCAGACGGCAATCGACCATTAGCATCCACCACTAAAAGCAAAAATGTACATTTAAATTGGTACTAAAGTTAGAATTAATCCAGGAAATTGTGTTACGAAGACAAGTAAATACTATTAAAGGCGTGTTTCAACACTATAAACTAGACATAGAAAGCGGGAAATTGCTGAATCAATCGAGTTAAAGATGGTGCATTTATCCTCTTTTTGTCTGTTGGTCAAGTTTATCTTCAGGTACCTTGATTAATTTTGAAATATTTTTCGTAATTTATATTTTATTTTATATGAAAACCTTTCACAGTTATCCCGAAGGCAAGGAGATTCCTAACTTATGTTTCATCTACCAGTAAGAATATTAAATGTCAATTATGAGCGTTTGAGCCACAACAGATATGCATGCAACAAATAAAAGTCGTTTTCGCTAAATGTAAAGTATCCCCCAAGTTTTCCAGCTATTTTTTAGCACATTGTTGGATCGATCAAATTTTATTACTGTAAATTCGAAAAAATGTAAGTTTTAAAAAACAATATCGGTATGGATATCAATTTTTAAACAGCAATACCGAAAAATACTACGCAAGGGTTTTTCAAACTTTTAAACACTATGATTTTAAAAGCATTTTCCTTATTAATGCAATAAACTGTTGCAAAACTTTAAATTGTGTTTTCTCGAAACTATGTTTTTTATAATCGTAGATACAATAACTTCTAACTAATGTTCCCAAGGGTAGGAGTATAATCCTTGACAGTAGCAACATAGGAGGAAATCATTGAGGTTTGATCATAGGAAATATTTGAACCACCCAGTCTTTATCGTATATAAACATTTACTAAGCTGATTGAAGAAAACGTTCGAGGTTTGATCTACCCTATATTTTTCACACTTAAACATATATTTATTTCAATGATTGGAGGGAAATTTGAGGCTTGGAGAGATTTGATCTACCCAATATTTAAATATTTATTTTGCTGATTGAAAAAAGTATTCGGGATTTGACCATAGGAGAGATTTTACTTACCCTATTTTTTCATATTTAAGTATTTATTTAGCTGATAAGCACCAAATGGAAGCAAGATATGAGGCATAATCACATGCTGTTTCTGTCTATGAGCCATAAAATTAAATATTATAGAATTCTTATTCAGAAAAGTAGATTTTCTTTTCTTGTTGCGATAAGTTTCTTTTAACTGAGTTATTTTTTATTAATGTGTGACGAAAAAAAAAAGTTGAATTCTTTGTGTATTTAAACCAATATGCTTAAAGTCGATGTATTTCTTGCTTATTTTTACTGTCTAGTGTAATTTGTTTTTACAAAATAGTAAGTTCTTTGGATGGATTTTTTTTTTTTTACAAATTGAATTTTTTCTTAATAAAATAGCTGTCAAGTGAGGTTTGATTAATTGTATAAAATCAAAGATTTCCACATTTGGGAAATACTTTGTAGGGATAGTGAAGTAAGTGGGATTGTAATGAATAACAAGTTACAGAAATAATGTTATGAAGTCCTGCTGATTTTTATTTAGTATTTTTTATTTATAAATATAGTATTTATTTCTGATAATATCCTATTCTTAAGTGCTGGCGGACAATAGTTTGGTGTTTTTCACTTTGGGCCCCTAGGTCTTTGTTTGCTCATTCAAATAAAGGATATTATGCAGATACTTCCCGATCAAACAGGACACCAAACCATGGAGCCATGATGGCTCAAGGGATAGAGCGTTCGCCTTCCAAAGAGGTGAACCATGTTCGAATCCCAGCAAAGGCGTTTCAAGGCGAATTTCGCATTCGTCTTGCACCGACTACAGTGCTGACGTAAAATATCATCAGGGGTAGACAGATCATGGGCTAGAGTACCCTTGCCGTTAGGCTAAACGTGGAAAGTTTTCGTGGTTTTCCTCTCCGTGTAGCGTAAATATGGGTTATTTTCATCAAGAAGTCCTCCACGAAGGCACATTGCTTACATTACTTGTTCCACAAGTTCCCTTGTCTTCTGGATTGGGTTCAAAATTACAAGGCTACGGAGTTGTACGTTAGTAGTCGTAAAAACCCGAAAATTGGGTCTGATGTTCAACAATTATAAAAAAGTAATAATAATAAAATAAAAAACAGAGTATAATTAAATTAAAGTTTATTAAACTGTTAAAAAGAAGACCGTGAAACAAGTAAAAAAACGTATAATATAATTATCTTAATATAGTTCAGTTTATTGAACAATTTAAGTTCAGATTCGTGAATAAATATTTGATAGATCTTTTTAAGCACTTTGTTATTGCTATATGATTTTATAAACTCTTTTAACCCCCGTTGCTCGAAGCTCCTTCACAATTGGTCAATCCTCCCTTAAGTAGGGAGATTTGATCTATTTTGAGCACGTAAGAGTGTACAAAATCCTTTATGAAAGCTTAGCTTATAAATAAAGTTAGAAAATAATGTAAACTGGTTGTAAACATTATAGGCTCATATATAAATAGAAAATTATTTCTACAAGAAATGCGTCATAAACGTCCCATGTTTTTTCCAATATTTTGTTTAATTAGATAAAAATAAATTTTTCTATATTTTACCGAAATGTTCTTGAAGATCAAAGCAACGCATGCACAAGCATTAAGCAAAACCAATCGAACTTTTAAACATAAGCATGATGAATTTTTTATTTTTTTTTGTAAAACTTTTTTTCATAAACAGACGAGAAAAAAAACCTAAGTAGTCTAATAAAAAGAGATCCTTTCTACTGAAAAACAAAAACAAATTTCTCTAATCAAGCGTTAAAGTACGAGATAATCTTCTTGAATAAAAACTTGCACTTTCACTTTGGCAACAATTAGACTAAAGCATTTTTTAAATCTTTTTGAAAGAATGTAAAAATTAGGTCAGTGAAAACGACGATCAAAATCTTGACATTCGCGGAGGGAAAGTAAATTTGCTCTTGAAAAATTGCTGTTGTCTCGATAATCTTGTTTCCTTTATGCGGAAGTATGAGGACGATGACTTTTACATTTCATATTTCATTTAGATGATGTAATTTCAATTGCCGTGAAACTCCTGTTGTGGTTCCTCTAGCTTGACACACATATAATCTTTTTTTAAAGACACTGTTCTGTTATCGTCTGCAAAAGTAATTCGAAATAGGGCATCTAATGCACGTGCGGCAGTGGCGGGAAGCAACTTTAATGTGCTCTTCTAGGGTGCTTTTTCTTAAATAAATGCTTTTGTTTTTTCAACATGGTCAATTTTGTTTCGTTTAATCAATGCTTATAGAGAAAATACTAATTTCTATAACCGATCTTAGCACCGACTCGATTAATTTTTATCAATGCACACATTGTAGAAAAAAACATTTTTTTAAAAAGAAATATGGTCTTGAAATGATTTTATTTTATTTTATAACCGTCGCTAACAGCCGATCCACTTTTGAACTACCAATGTTCAACTTGCTATTTTGAACCCAATCCAAAAGACAAGGAACTCCTGAATTAAGTTTTATGAAAAATGTGCTTTCTTGGAGGACTTTTTGACGAAACTCACCCACATTTGCTTTACATGAAGAGGCAAAACCACTAAAATCTTCCACGGTTAGCCTGACTGCAAGGGGAATCTAACCCATGATCCGTCTACCACTGACGATATTTTACGTCATCACCGTGGTAGCCTGGCGCGGAATTCATATAACCCAGCCATCGCTGGGATTCGAATCAGTTTCACCTTATTGGGAGGCGAACGCTCTATCCCTTGAAGCCCCACGGTTCTCTCTAGAAATAATTGTCTCACTTTTCGACACTAATGTTTAGTCTGTGGAAAAAAACGCTATTTTTTTTAAAAAGTTTTTTGATGCAAACTGTTTTCTTTGTCACCGCAAATTCTTATTTTATAGAGAAAGCACTTTTTTTAACATGGTATTGACGTCGAGACTCTTGCTTTTAACCCCCAATGCTTATCACTAAGGAGTTTTTTTAACCATGAACTTGAAACTGATTCTCTTGCTTACTTTATAAAGAAAAGGCGACTTTTGAGCACTTTTAGTGCTGGCAAGATCTGGTAACAAAGAGAACTGTTCCGGAGAAGTCCAAGGCTCACCCCGGGCTGATGTGCAATGATGATTTTTCGAAAAAAAATGCAGTGTACGGTTTCATTGTAATTAGAAGATATAAAATCAAGTTACGTATATTTTCATCATCATCATTAGCACGACTGCCCGAGGTCGGCCTTCGCCTTTTCTAGAATATTTATTAATGTCGTTCTCAATAAAGTTTCTTTGTTATATGGTTACATAGAAATGGAAGTACATCTATTATCTACTTTATAACTATTGTGAAAGTATCTCTATTTTAACTACATAATTTTTAGGAAAATAAAAAAAAATCTGTGAAAATTAAAAAACTGTAGAAATTTGGGGCATTGATTACTTTTCTATTATGAAATCTTTCTAAGTGTACTTCTGAATAGGACATAACAGGGAAGCGCTTTTAGCTGTTGGTGACGGCATTTCCGAGAATGGGTTCCTATGCAGTTTTAATCCTGATGATGTTCCTTAATTCCTCTAGAAGTTTGTCGCAATATTTATGAGATCCCTTTTTTATGTAACGTTTTTAAACTTGTATATTTCGACAAACAGGCTAAAAATGTCTCTTACAAAAAAATCTGTAGCCCTAGGAGCAAAGCTAATTTTAGATTTTAGGTCCTTACAATCAAATTCGGCACGATCAAGTAATTGTATAAATACAACAAAAAATTAGTTCCCAGAGTAATTTGTTAAAAATGGAGCGAAAAAAGACAATTTTAGTTTTAAAAAATATCCCCCAGCATCTTTTTTTTTCGAACTCAGTATAAAATCCTTTAAAATTCATTTATTGATAATATTTGTTTAAATATAAGTTCTTTCAAAACTATTAAACTCACCTATATTTTGAATTCAGATTACAAAAGTACGCAAACTTAAAAGATATATGCATAAGCGATAAGCGAGCCAGATAAAAATACAAGTTTGTAATGGAATAAAACTAAATAAAATAAAAACAATGCCTGTCTTAAATAGT